GGCCTCTGTCTTTTTCCTTCGCGTAGGTCGGTTATCTTCACTCAAAGGTTTGTTGCTATCGCTCCGTTTCAAGTCATGGCATATTACTTGGGAGCTCTACTTCGCCATCCGTCCATCTCTTTCCCCCATTTCGACCGTCCTATGACACATGAAATCATCACCTGGGTCAGACCTTGAGTGACAATGATATGTATCGGAGAAATCCTTCCTGATGCGGAAATCTAAGGTAGAGGTCTATTCTCCGACGCTCAGCTCCGTCCGGCCGTCAATGACAGACGCAGCGCAGGGGACTCTCAAACCTCTAAAATAAATGAATTGAGATCATTACGACTCATGTTTCACACAGTTGAGGGGTCACAGCCAGCCTCACTTTGCCCTTAGTGATTAGTATCACCACATATAGGTCCTTGACAGCCTTGAATAATCTGAGACTTAATTTACTGTCAGGTCCTCGAAGCGTCTGATACCGTACATCAGATACTGTAATAAAACCTCGTAATACAATAACAGTAAGTTGTAATGCGTTTTTTCTTCTTTGCCTTGGGCTCATAGGCTGGGCTTTTCCTCTTTGTCCCAACTTGTTGCCACGTTTTTTTTGAACCCGATCGGCGCGGTGCATTGCCGTCCGCGTCTTTCCGTTGCCGCCAAAACCCACCGTCAGCTGGCGGGCTAAACATTGGGCTCAGTGGGCTGTCCTTGGCCCCTTTCCAGCTCTGTGTGGTCAGTGGTCTCTAGTCACTCCGTCACTATGGCCTTGGTCTCCGGACTCTCCAGGATGCAGTCTCCACCCTCACTAACGGCCGCTTGTCCAGTGACCGAGTCGCTTTGGCTAGTGACTCCAGCAAGATCTTGCCGTTCCATGGTTATTATTGTCTTAGGCGCAAGGTTCGGGGTACAGCATCCCGTCCGCAGCCCAACCAAGTCAACCAACTTCCTGTCCGTATGGCGAATTTGTCAGCCATCGAAGGAAGTATCACTGTCTTAGTAAGAGTAGGACAGCATCCTGCAAACAGAAGATTGAGCCGGTTTCAATTGCTCACTCTGAGTCTGAGGGCCAACAGGCTTACTCCGTACAGCCCATGGTCATTGGCCAGCAACCGTATCCACCCGACCAGCCTGCTTCGCGATCGACGGGAAGGCCGCATACGAATTCAGTCACGTGACTGAACACAACCCAATCAGGGTCCGGGACTCGACGTCTCCTGTTGTGGCTTGTCTGCGCGCTTAAAAACGTGCTTTGGATGGTCAGACAGAGTCTGGCAGTAGCAGGCATCTCACCTCCCTTTGTTCGACAAGCAAAGATACAAGTCTTTCTGATTGCCTATTGTCCGTGCTTACTGCTTACCCAAGTGCAGCACTGCATTTTGTGCGCATGTACACATACAAGCGTGATCTTCCCTGATGACGTGGCAGAACAAGAAGTAAGCGAGGCATGATTATTTTATGTGTCTTGCCTGACTTGCTCATGCCACCAGTCTCAAGTCATGATCCAGTACGCACCGCCGCATGTGTCCTTATTTCTCGAATCTCCTCTACGGATCATCATTGAGTGCGAGCCCTCTGATATTATCCATCGAGCATGTTTTGGGCATCGGAGCTCTTCCGCCTGATGAATGTCCTCTGTATCGCGTGACAGTCGGAGGGATTAAACCTAGAATAGCGAACCTCAATGACTACCTGACTGCGCAGAGATGACTCACTTGACTCGCCAGACAAGTCTTTGATCCTTTTCGGTCAACTCGACGAAGTGAAAAAGAGCGGTGTTCCAACGACATGACGCTCAGACCAGGAAGGCCTTACGGCCAAGTCAGCATCACAGCCACTCATCAAAGCGCTTGAACCTGTACAAACGCGTCTTAATATCCAGAAAAGGAAGTACTCTGACGGTGATCGGTACTTGAGTCGGGGGAAGAGGCGGAGAATCGAGATTAGGTCTTCGGATCGCCTGGACGCCAAGGTGTCCAGGAAGATCGTCCCTCAGCCTTAACGATTTGGGCAGCAACCGCCACGGAGATCAGTATCATCAGTCAAGCACACTCCAAGATCTCGATTCTCTCATTCAAGTTAGGGCTACGGATTGCTGGCGTGCATTCACTGTACTTGAGAGAGACACTAGGTGACAAGCCTACAGCGTACACACCACATGCTGATCTATCACATTATTGTCCACATTTCTCGGATAAAGTTAGCCGGGATCACCGTCAGATGGGCTGTCGCATGCAAGGAGATGCGCCTAGGATCCAAACAAGGTTCTTCTACGACGAGGCCTGTCTGGAAGCGAGTATACCTTGGGCAGCAGGGAGGCGACAGGTACTCCGTAGACGAAAAAGATTCATACTCACCTTTCACATGCTCTCTATATTCCTGAAAATCTCCAGCCGATGCTTTCTGCAGCTTTGCGCTACTTGACTTAATCCTAGAACGAGAGGGTACTCCTCATGAGCACTGTGATAGTTTTCAAGGATCATGTCCAATAATTCAGACAAGTCTACTGGACTGATTACTCCATCTAGTTTACCTTATAAGTCTATGCGTATCATTGCACTACCCCTTCGGAGATGCTAAGTGTACTTGTACAAAGTCAAATTTCATAGCCAGATATACTTTCGCAAGCGCAGTTTATGCCTCACATTTGGGATGAAATACTTTCGTTTTCAAATGCAAGCTGCTTACACAGTATGTTTTACCTTGGATTACTAATAATGAGCAAATGATAGCGGTCGAGGAAAAGTCATTTGTGATGCTACTTTGCAAGGTTCCTCTACAGTAAAAAAATATATCACCTGTTTCGCTTCTCTTCAGGGAAACTTCACTTATTTAGATTGAGATTCATCAGAACATCGAGTATGCGGCGGAAATAATAGATGTTATCTCCTTGTTGTCATCGATAATACTTGGCTATAATTGTTCTTTTTTTGTTCACATATGAAGAAGGTAGGTGAAGTTGGTGTTGGCACATCAGACTCTGATATCTACCATTGTAGGGGATCTCTGAATCTACTCAGCAGTATGGAAGCTTCTTCGAAGCTGGAGATGTTGATTATCTACCAGCAGACTTTGAGTCATCGGCAAATTTACGCATCTCGTCAAGGACTCACCATCAGCATCTGCATTGCTGAAGACTTCCAGGCACACTGTCTAAATGTCTAGTGCCCATCTCGACTCTAAACCTTCATTTTAATGGGTACTGGGTGTGCGAGATGAGAAATGACCCTCGAATTGAGGGAAAAGATGATCGCTTCCGTCTGAATTAGGAAACTGGACGAGGATCGATGGACGCATCTATTGAACGGAAAGTTCCGCCAGCATCTCGGCGAGCCAAATCACAATCGATCGATTCAATATTATGGTTTATAGGCTACAAGGATCCTACGTGGAGAAAGAAATGTGTGGTTCGCAGGAGGAGCAATGCAAGTCTCCTCTTTGAGGGTGGTGACAGTCTGCGCGTGATTTGCCTTTCGTGGTGTTTGCTGACTTGGGTTAACTGCTCGTCAGGCACTAGAGAGGCAAATTCAAAGAGGCCTGGCTTTGACGATGACAGCATGGCTCGTACAAGACATTGTGTGTCGTGAATTCAGGCACTGATGCAGGAAGTGAAACTTCTCGTTACCCGTATGTCCATGGAACGAGTACCAGAGATGGTAAGTGGCATCGACGAATTCGCACGCGTGCAGAAGTGGATAACACCAATTATTATTATTTATTGACGAGAAATGGGCAGCATCGTGGAGCTAACGGCACGTCCGACGGGCCGGGCAGCGGCGCGCGGACAGCAGGCCATAACATGCAAGTCAGCGATATGTGGACACTGGCGAGTTAACTGTTGATGAATTTGACCCAAGTACAGTTCTTACTGGAAGACCAAGACTGGCGGTCAGTGACAGGGGGGATGCATGTCAGCTTGTCAGTCAAGGTATTCGAACCCACGGCAATTCAGCGCCGATGAGAATGCTGCTAGACTCTTACAACAAACCCACCCAACAAAGAGAGGGTAGTGTATGGTTAAATGTCGGTGCCAGGCCAGCAGCCAACTCAGCACCAGGGGATCCCAGTGATGGAAGATACGGGGCGAGGCGTGACAATGTACGAAAAAACGATGCTTTGGCTTTTGCCACAACTAGGGAGTGTTCAAAAAAGGGGACTTCGTATTTGTACGTGAAAGCAATAACTACACCACAAGATCAACAAGGCCGTCGCGAAACGAATCTGGGACCGCCAGGGAGGGAGGTGACCGGCAACGAAATCTGGTTATGAGGAGTCGGACTCAGAACCTGTATCCTGGTCCGCCGGATCAGGCATAACAACGCTGTTCAAGTACGTAACCTGTCAAATGATACCTTTGTCAGTAACAGCACTCACGAAAGGACCTCGGGGACCATCTTTGCATCTTCTCATATGATGGCAACAAGCATGATACTAGACGGTGGGGGGACCATTGTGTCTCAGAGGCTACACCGCTGGAGTGGCTGGGAAGGGCATGACGAAGAGGGGAACAAGAACCAGACAAGGGCCTTGTATCTGATACGGAATGGTAAGATCCAATAGATAGAGACGCGGACGGGCGGGAGAAAGCCAAATGAGGCTGCGTAACAAGGGTGGCTAGCATGGCTTACAAACGGTTCCATGACACCAATGATGGCGGCTATTCTCTCTTGCACATTCGAGGCCATGAAATCCGAATCGGAGAGGGGCTTTCCAATGGTGAAACTGCGTAGACGGAGTAATTCAATGTTTTTGTTGTCGACCTCATAGCCCTAGACAGGAACAAAGTTTGTCAGCACTCAGTGTACTCCGTACTACTACCGTGAAATTAAGACGCGGCAAAAGACCCGCCAGGAGGCAGATGCTGAACCATGGAAACAGATGAGACGGTGCAGAAAACTCTTCGACACCAAGCAACTCCGGTGGGACAACGATGGCATTTCCGCGCTGGTCCCAGGAACCAACTTTCAGGAGTCCAGAATTACGAGCAGAAGACTTTCTGAGGCAGGCGAGTATTCTCAGACTCCCAGGCTCCCGACTCCCGAGGTTTGGGTGTGAGAACGCGAGCTCCCAATACGGATAGCTCCGGCTACCCGTGCGCGGCTGCGCTTCTTGCCATCAACAGTCTCGACACACAGAAAGCAGTCAATGAATCTGCCTGTCAATGATGAGATATTTAGCCGCTTCTCTCTCTGAAGCGACAGCTCAAAGCGTTGTTCGAGGGCCAGAAAGTGTCTCTCTAACTAGCGAAACTTGTCATGCTCGATCGGGCCGTCACTGACCAGCAGTAGCACCGCGCCCCAGAGTCGCTCTGGAAGACTCTGAACTCGGCACCTCAATTCGCATCTAATTTGCCCATCTGATAGAGTACTGGTCGAAAGAATTCGATGGGAACACTTTGCGCCCGTGACAGTGGTGGTTGATGTGTGCCAGATGATGGGATGAAACATTGAGCAGAGCTGTACCTACCTTGGGCTTTGTTTTGAGCGCGCTTTCTTTGTTTTGACTAACAAAAGCCTGAACAGACTTCTTTTCGTCGTCGGGAATCCCATTGAAAACCTCGCGGCGCATGTCCGGTCTTCGCAGCACGGCCTTCAGACGATGCGAATTATGATCGATATCCTCTCGAAGAAGAGCAAGCTTATCAGCTTCTGGGTTCCAGAGCCCTGAGCCTGTGAACGGCACCACATTTGTGAGCTTAGAGCATCATGGCCTAGAGATAATGGGGAAAAAGGGGCGAGATTCTGGATGCTTGGGTGTGACCAGTTCTCGAAGGAGCCGTAGTCGCCGACGGAGCCTCATGAAATGGTGCAGGAAGAAAGGTTGCCGGGAGTCAAGTCGGAATGAGGTTGAACTGGTGTAGAACACCTTGAAAGAGGGATTCGCTCTGAGCGGGCAGGGGCCGATGAGTTTTAGGGAATCACTCACCGACAAAGCAAGATCCAGGCTGCAGATGCACATAATAAGCCGCATAAGGGCCTTTTTTGCCGGTGCGGGACCTTATGGAAGGCGTCCAGTCAATGCATCTTTTGCACAAACCCGGGAAAGAACCTACCATGCAGCTGAAAAGTGCGTCTAGTCATAGCAATCGTCAACCCACCAACGATCTTAGAAATTGGACACGCGAAACGCGGCATGTTGACAGGTCATGCTTGGATATCATACACACCTTGTATGGAGTGGGGTCTTTGCTGAATCGAATGTCTCTATGAATACGAAATACCTGGGAGGACATCCAAGTCAATGCATTTGCTTCGTTTCACCTCGTCATTTTCCTTTCAGGTTTTGACCATGACAAAGATGTTTTAAAAAGTGACACTTACGAGATCCTTTGCAGGCAGCTCAGGGATGGTGCTATCCTGCTCTGATATTTTCTCCGAGAGACTTTCGACGAAAGTTTCCCAGTCTTTCTTCGAAGCACGATAATCGGCGTCATGTGCTACCCAGATGCTTGTTGGTTAGACATGCTTTAACATCGGGGATACCACATTCTGATCGTCAATACCTTTGAGCCACTGTCTGTCGTTATGTTTCGCCAAATCTTGCAGGAAAAGCATGGTGTTCGGATGCAGTGTATGGTCCTGATAGGGAATATTTCCAGGATCTCTGGCTTTAGGTTTCTTGATGAAGACTTCTTTTCCAGGTCCCAAGCCAGTGCTGACACCCTCCCTCCATAGTTCTTTGTCCTTTAGCGAAGCCGCTATCTCCTCATTAGGATGGTCTTCTTCCTCGTTTTCGTTGTCTCTTCTTGCACCCCTTTTCCCTGGTGTCTTCCGACCTCCATTAGGATTAGCATTCTTTGTTGTTGATCTCTTTGTTTTCTCCTCATCTGTCGACAGCGCCTCCGGTTCCTCAGAGTCCGGTTCAGTCGACGCGGGGGATAAGTTTGTATCTTCGTAGGCTGAACCTGAGTCTTCTTCCGCAGATTCGGGGTCGGAATCCTCATTTTCCTCCTCTTCGAAATATTTGCTCTTTCTGGCGGTAGATCTGACGGCCTTCTTGGCGGTTGTGCTGTTGTACCTTTGTCTTTTCGCATCTGTCTTCGAGGCTGCGGAGATTCTGTCAGACGCGCGCCTTTTTGGTGCCGGCGCTGGAGCTGCCGCAGACGCGGGAACGGCCCGAGACGATCGACGAGGCATTGAAGCGGAAAGATAGCAAGAGGATAATGATAAGAAAGTGCGTGGATGTCTTGTGTTTCTTTCAAACCAAGCTATTATCGGAGACGAGTCTCTGATGATATATACGTAGCTACGCAGGATAAAGAGGAGCCGAGCGGTAGCAGAAATGTGCGGGTAAGCAATAGTCTATGACATTTAAGAGACCGTCCGCGGCTGCTTCGCAACTGTTTGACCGGACAAGCGGGCTACGCAAGATTTAGTTAGCGATTGATTGACTTTGAGACGGTTCAAGCGGAAGACGGGACAAACCAGGAGGCTGGTAACTTCTGGGGCGCTTTTCGCGTGGAAAAGGCGGAAGGGTTCTTTGCTCCCGTCCCGCTAAACTTAGCGCTCGCTCGCTTGATAGACGACAGTCGCTGGTGAAAAGCTGTGGCGATGCAGTGAGTCGGGATGACATGTTGATGAACAAGGCATCCCGCACCCTGTAAATTTCCAAGATTTTCTCTGTAACCGTTATAGGTCTATTCTATTATTACAGAAACGGAGAGACTCTGGCCATCCTGCAAACAGATCAACTCAAATTTCAGGTTCACTGTCGGGCTTCTCGATCGTCCTTTGCTGGAACAGACCGCGATATCTCAGGGTAATTAGACGGCAGATAGAGGGTGACATAGCGCAGAGGCGAGTCATGAGCAACCCGGAGGTAGGCATGATTCCAGAGGTCTTTGAATCTCGAAAGCGCAAGATTCTTGCAGAACTGTCCGCCCCAGACACAGAGTATACGGATCTTTCACCCAAAGGATCGGTAGATGAGGGAATCCGCGACTTAATCCACGATATTAATGCTCTGCCCGGTCTGGTGACCACCAGTAGTTGTGCTGGACGAATCAGCGTCTTCTTGGAGGGAAGAAAAAAGCAACATGACCACCAGCAGGAGCAACTGCAGTTCGCGCCCTCCGGAGGCAAAGGGGCAGGGAAGTGGCTATTTGTCTCGCACGATCCTTTGAAAAGCTACGGGACAGACAGTGGCAGCGATGATTCCGATTTGAGGCAAGGCAAAGATTATCCGAGAAGTCTGCATGAATTGTTTGGGATGGTCCCTGGAGATGGAAGACCTCTGGGGCTGAAAGGAGGAGGTCACGCCCCGCGTCTGGTGCGCTTCCATTACGATCCTATGGTAGGTCGACAGTCTTTTCACCACCCGACTCTCAATACAATGCTGGTCGATGTGCCTCATCCCTTTTCTGGCTCGAATTCCCCGACAATCTTTTCAGAAGTTTTTCAAGCGTCTATCACCATGTTCAATTCAGAGGCCGACAAATAAGAGACCTTATACTGATACCATCTCTCGACAGATCCTTCATATCATGGCAGCAACACTTCAACACGCTCATCCTGTATTGTCAGCTGCTGCAACCTCTGGATTTCGGGAGAGCGGATTACAAAGTCTCCGTTGCCTTGAAGGCGAGAACGGCCCAAGTCCTATTGTTGCCGTGCGCTCTGCGGGGTTGTCCCTTGAATCTGTCATCGGCTATTGCGAATTTTCCGATGAAGAAGACGATACGAGCAGCAAGGAGCCTGTCATCCGCAGCCTCGTGACAGAGGAATATCTTCAGATGCTGGTCGCCATCTCAAACGAGAGGTTTTCGATAAATGCAGAGCGTAAGGAAAGATTTCGCACAAGTTTGCTCAACCTTTGCTCGAGGGACCAATCTAGTGGCTCAGGGACAAGGGCAAAGGCTAAACCTGAAGGCTGGGAAGATCCTGCGGCACGTAGAGAGAGGAAGAGGGCGGAAGGGCTTATGAGGAAGAAGGTTCTCGAGGCTCAGGCAAGAACTGCTGACAACGAGAGTACAGCGACATACGAGATGGGATCGGGGACGGATCCAACGCAATTATGAGAATTCTAGGTACATGATTGAGAAAAAAAGTCATCTAAATCTGTGATTTGGCATCGAAGAACAGGCCATGATGCCGCCTATGCCGCCAATCATCCATATGCGCGAGATTAAAGAGGAACCAGAGATAAATGATATTCGGTACCATGCAACCTTCCAAGGCTTCCTCGAAACAAGCCGAATTGGCACTGCCTGATATCTCAATTGATCTCAACTGTGTCGAATTGACTCCAATCCAGTGCATCAACCATGGCATTCCGGATGAATCCAATACCTGGTACAGTCCTCGGCCGGAAATCTCTCAAAAGGCGAACAGTGCCAGGGTGAGGCAAGCACTCGCTGCCCCTCAAAGCCCCAAATTGATACAAAGCAGATCTCAAACTGCCGAGGGCAATTTACAATGAAGCCAAAGGATAGCAAGACATTGTTTGCCGTCCAAGAATAAAAGCAATCTGGGAGTTTGCAACACCGGCCATCCCGCGACGCTGGCCCGCTGAAACCTCAATGGTTGCCTGCGGACGGAAGGCAAGTGGGAGACGACATGGTATTCCGATGACCGGGGAACCTACCTCGCATGCCAGCCGAAGAATGCATATACATTGTACGGCGCCAGCCGTCATCGCTGCTCTCAGCAAAGGAGCGGTGGCTGCCAAGTTGAACGCTTGCACGACGGGAAGGAGTCGCGAAAATATCAGTCCTGGAACGAACATTGATTGGACTATTGTCACTCCCAGATGACACAATGGTGTTTGCATGGGATTCGCGGCTGCTCGCGGTGGTAGACTCGGGCAGTAGGCCGGATTTCTGTGTGTTCTCCTGGTCATTCTTCATCCAGCCGGTAAGGACAAGATGACTAAGGATGCTCATCTCATGCGCGGAAGCATCTTCCCAGTTCGTAGTCTTAGCCATGTCGAGCGGCCATTCGAACCAGATACGACCGTAAGGGGATTCGAGATGAATGTTCGTCAAAGGGAAGTTATTCGGCAGCTTCATGTCGGTGCGGTCATGCAAGGTACCTTTCGATATCAACTTGACGTAATACTGAATGCTCAACCTGTCAGTCTGTGCCAAAACAGAGCTTGAAACCACAGCAAAGCTTTCAAAACACGGCCAAGAAAGGAGGACATACCAGAAGTGTATTCTCTTCGATCTTGGGTAATTTGACGAGGGTATCGAAAGGGAACCATTTACCCATATCTGGGAACTTCAAGATCTCTGTGGTATCCTCCGAATTGACACACAGCGTGTACTTCTGGCGCTCGTTGAAGGCAGGACAATTCAATCCAGCATAAAGAAGTTCACGCAGCAGCCTTTGGTCAAGACCAACTGTGTTCGACCTCTTGACTCGCGCAACAAGAGATATGATGTGGCGATTAACCAGCTCAAACAATTGATTGCGGGCATGAACTGTGTACAGCTTGGTAGCGTACCACGGGAACTAAGCAGAGGAGCGTATGATTAGCATGTTGTCTCTCACATGTACGTCTTACGTACAATGGCAACAGACGAAAGGGTTTTACCTTGTAGAGTGTGCTGATGGTGGACTCGTAAGTGCGCTGAGGACACTTCGCAGAGAATGGAGACTGACAGCCTTGTTAGTGCCTTGAGCGGACAAAATGACCGGACTGAATCTAGTGATGGTTACTTACACGGTGCGGTATCTCTGCATGGCGAATGGCATTGACAATTTCCTCGGTGGTGAAAAAGCCCGAGAAACCAGTAGAGAAGGGATCATTATTGGGGGCAGCGGTAGGCATAGCATCTTTCCAGATGATGCATTTGGCACGAGGGAACAGGTCCTTGAGCAGAGCATCTTGGTTACTGAACTCAACGTCAACAGAGCGATTACCCAGACGAGGAGCGCGGCCAGTCTCATAAATTCGGTTGATGCGAGTAGCTGTCTCCTGGGCATCAGTCGCGGACTGGAACTCAGCATAGCAGTCCATTGTCTTAGCAGTGGAACGTTCCATTATAATATGGATTGCGCAGCCCTGTTGCGGCGTAATGAGGCGTGCCTGGCGACCTAGGAACTGAATGATTTCTTGCCGGGTGACTGAGTAGGGAATCTTCCTTGCTTGTTAGCCGAAAGCTCCTGGACGTTACTCACAACGATAAAAGGGGTGTCATGCTTAGAGACATGTGGAGGCTTCGACTTACGTTCGCAATCTTGACAACTCCCCATTGAGGGGGCATTCTTTGGTGGACTTGGCTCCCGATTGGCATCTCAGTTGGAAGAGCCACCGTGTCGAAACTCTTCTCACAGTCAGCAGCCTGAATAGGCATCTCACGATTCTCAGAGTCATGCTCCAGGAGCTGGTGCAAAGAAGAGCGCGGAGGCCAGTGAGAAACAGCTGAGGCAAACCCCATCTGCTTGGGACGGACTGAAAGCTGGAGCTGAGTGGTCGAGGCATGCAGCGGAGCTTGCATCCCGTGAGCTTGTCCTATGACGCCAGGAAGAGCGTGAGCCATGGTCTGCATACCATAGAAAGGAGAGTACACGAAGGGGCCTTCTGGCTGCAAAGATTGGGACGAATGGGGGTTGCCTGGAGCCATATACTGTCCCTGCTGGGGAGTGAAGCCCGGCATGACAGGAGCTCCGAAGGGAAGCATGTTGAAGCTCTGAGGGTGCGGAGGTGTGAAAGGATATCCGGACTCATGCCCAGAGAATTGGCTGTTAGTATCCCTGCCCTCCATGGTGAGATAGGATGGTTAGCATGCAGGAAGGTTGAAAGAGAAGAGGAGGAAAGAAGACACTCTTTTCATGAGCAGAGAGAAGATTCTATTGTTAAAAGCGTCGGGGCAGACGAGCACCATAGTAACAGAAATGTTGGGATAGAAAACCCGCTTTTGATCCAGTATTCACTTATCTTTCACTATTGTAAGCTGTCTCCACAATAAAGTGTTGCCTACATCTACAGGATTAGACAATGAGCTCTGAGAGGAGACAATACAATATCTGTGTGAAGCCATCAGAGATGGGCTTGGATACCTATGCTAGATAATGAGTTCTCTATATAACATCAAACTGACCGGAAAAAGAGATGCACCGAAGGTAGTGCTAAGTTCAGGGACTGATATCCGAATCATATCATCAGTGAAGGTTAGTCCTCAACAAGACAGATGGCTAGTGAATGGAGTTGCAGGACTTGGTATCTGAAACATGGCATCCCTCATAATTCACTAGGAGCACAGTTATGAGACCTGCGAGTACGGTCACACGAATATGTTGGGATCTAGATGCTGGAATGTCCGCTTAACGATGAGATGGTGACAAAGTATGGCATATCCATGGAGAAGTTGACACTCAAGTAGATTTGTAGAGAGATTCGCAAGCTGTACTGGACACTTTTAGCGATGGTTCAGAGAGAGATGCAGAGTATTGATAGTGAGATATATCAAATTGAGTTTTATGTATTGTTTTATTGAAGCAGAGGTGATCACGCGGAGAGTCAAGAGAATCCATGGTCCTAATGGATTACCATAGATACATGGATGAATTGTAGAAGTGAGCAAGCTCACTGGGGTTTGATTTCAGGGTAGGATTGAGGATCTAAGGCGGGAATGAAGCATTCAGCAGACTGCTCGAATGTTTCCCTTTATCAGCCTAGATCGCCTGTACAGAGGTTTTCATCGGACGAAACAGAGGTCATATATTATTGAAGGACAGATATAGGCGATATCAATGAATTTTCAGTCAAACTGTAGCATAGATTTATCAGATACGCAGTGATGGTCGGAAGGAGGAAGTGGTCTCTTACTGGTGTCAAGAAAGACTCAGCGACGAATCGAGCACGGGCATTCAACTGGATAACATTAGCCATGTAGACCCATCAATTGAGAGGGAGGAATCTGAGCACATACGAAGAGCTTCATCTCAGATATCTCCTTATCCACTTCTTCCATGAATTGAATGATAAAGTCGACCAGCTTGTGCTTCAACATAGCTTCTGTATGGAAGTTCGTGATCAAGAACGAGATGTCATATCCCTGGAACGGCGATGAGTAATTTATCGTTGCTCCGACCTTGAAGGTCATATGGTCGCTCACCTTGACTGGTTTCCTTCGCAAGATGAAGAAGGATTCTGCCCGTTGCGTCAAGAATCTGGTGAACTTGTGGACCAAGATATGTTCAATTTCGTCTGCTTGCTTGATTCTGATGCTCACGCGAACACTGTTTACGCTGGGCTCAATCAGGACTTTCTCATTCTCATTCCGAGAAATTGTGAGGGGGTTAAGGAGGAGTTCCGGGGAGCTCTGGGCCTCAATTTCAGGAACATTATGCCTTTCGGAGGTTTGCGAGGCGAAGTTCGAGATCGCAAGGGCAGCGGTAAGCGAGGAACGAACGCATTGAAGGTACGGGCGCAATGATTGAGACTGCCAGATGATCAATATCAGATTTCGCCAAGTTTGAAAGGGTTCGGCCTACCATAACGGAGATGCGAGGTATGGTGATTCCACGTCACTGTTGCTGTTCCCCACTCCAACTCTGTCAATGTTCGCTTCCAGTCAAGACTGATGAGTGTTAAGATCGCACCAATTGATCTCCCGCAAATGCAGCACTATCAGGAAAGCTGGACTGAAACAGGATAAATGATTGTACTCAAGCACATGTACTAGGCAGTCAGCTTCAGGAGCCGACGACGACATCCCGCACGGCTGCTTGGGCGGTGATGTCGTATGTGGTTGTTTGCTTTGTTTGTCTTGTTTGTAACTTCCGCCCCACGCTTCCCTGGAGTCATCTCTGGTATCACCGTTGGTTATGCGCCACTCACCAGCATTCTACCAAATAAAGCTCATCTGGAAGACCCGAAAAGCGTCTGTCGAGCTTTAACAAGATGGCTACAATACCGAGTATGACTACCCGCTGCACTGAGATGTATTTTGAATCTTTTTTGAAGCTTGTACTAACGTCATGTTGTCAGTTATCGTGAAGCATCAAGGCAAACGTCATGAGGTTGAGCTCGATCCATCTGCGAATGGCGAAACACTCAAATATCAAATGTACTCCTTGACTGGAGTCGAACCCGAGAGACAGAAAATCTTGGTCAAGGGTGGCCAGCTAAAAAATGAAACGCCTTTGTCCTCCCTCAACGCTAAACCGGGCCAGACATTTATGATGATGGGTACACCGTCTGGCGGTCAAGATGCCGTAGACTTGGGACGGCCAAAGGAACCAGTCAAGTTCCTGGAGGATATGACCGAAGCTGAGGCTGCCAGAGTGGAGGGAGCTACGCCTGCTGGTCTGCAGAATCTTGGAAATACTTGCTACCTCAACTCTACCCTGCAAACCCTGAGAAGCGTCCCGGAGCTTCAACAGGAGCTTCTAAATTACAGACCCAGTGCGAGCTCTTCAGCAGGTTCAAGACTTTCAGATCTCAGCAGCCTTGGCCTCGGTGGTCTTGGTGCCTCCATGGATCTTGTATCCTCCTTGCGAGATTTGTTCAAGCAGATGTCTGAGACCCAAGAAGGTTTCCCGCCGCTTTTGTTTCTCAATGCTTTGAGAAGCGTCTTCCCTCAATTTGCTCAGAAAGACAGAAATGGACATGGCTATGCTCAACAAGACGCTGAAGAGGCTTGGTCGCAAATTGTCACTCAACTGCGAAGCAGACTGATGATCAAAGAGGGTGAAGGAGACTCCGCTACCGAGGTGTCGTTTGTGGATAGATATCTTGCTGGTCGATTCGAATCAGTCACTGAATGTGACGATCCGGCGGCGAAAGAAGCTGGCGAGGAAGCAACAGAAAGCTCCGACGTCTTCTACAAGCTGGATTGCCACATCGGCAAAGAGACAAACCACTTGCATGATGGCATAATGGCCAGTCTCGAAGAGAAAATTGAAAAGCGTTCACCTACTCTGGACCGGGACGCCGTCTACACTAAACGATCCCGCATTGCCCGGCTGCCCAAGTATCTGACCGTGCATTTTGTGCGCTTTTTCTGGAAACGTGAGACGCAAAAGAAGGCCAAGATCATGCGCAAAGTGACTTTCCCTGCCGAACTGGATGCGGTGGATTTTTGTACGGAGGAGCTCAAGAAGCAGTTGATCCCTATCAGGGACAAAGTACGAGATATTCGGAAAGAAGAGATCGACGTTGAGCGTGCCCGCAAGCGCCAGAAGATTGCTCATCAGCGGGAGGAGGAACTGAAGAGAGCCGCTGAGTCCGATGCGAGTCTGGAACCCGTGCAAAAGAAGAAAGCCACGGAGGGGCAAAAGGAGGCTGCAAAGAACGGCGAGCAAGATGGGGACACAGCCATGACAGACGTCTTCAAGTCGGACGCAGAGTACGAAGCTGAGAAGACTGCCTCGATTCTCGCTGCAAAGAAAGAATTGTCTGCACTGATCGACCCCAAACTCGCCTCAGATGCTGGTACAAACAAGTCTGGCCTCTACGAGTTGCGCGGAGTCATTACGCATCAAGGCGCCAGTGCCGACAGTGGTCACTACACGGCATATGTGAAGAAGCAGCCAAATGGCAAGGGCGAGGAGGACGGAAAATGGTGGTGGTTCAACGACGAGAAGGTCACCGAGGTGGATGGAGAGAAGATCGAAACCCTTGCTGGTGGTGGTGAGTACATCGCTTGCTTCTCTCTATTGATCGAACTTGACTGATATTTGGCAATCCCAGGTGAATCCCATTCTGCACTGATCCTTCTCTACCGCGCAGTCGACTTGCCCACCGCGGAATAAGAAGCTTCCATGCCTTCTGGAAAACAACCGTGCCGTGCCTGCAGTCTACCTCTTAGAGAAATGAAGTTTAGCACATAACGACCACATCAAGCATTATTGAAACCGATATTTCGCATCGGCTAGACTAATGCAGCCTGCTTTGTTCTTCAGCGTCTAGATAATCTTTGGTGGCTCTGTGAACATTGCATGCGGCTAATCTTACGAAGAGATTCTAGATATATGAACTCTGGGACGTCCCCAAAGTGATGGCCATAGTGTTTTAGTGAACATCGATTCTGTATAAGCAACAATGCCACAGAGTAGAAAGTTCTTTGTCAAAAGTAAAGTAGTTCACGTGACCTCAACCTCGGCAATCGGCGCTTGTTCTCCCCTGCCGTCAAGGCTGGTTCTGATAACTTGCGATGCAAATGCGCATCGTCTGAACCGCAGCAATACCCATCAGCAGGTTGCGATGTGATTCGGATCATCATGCTCGCTCCTCGCAGAATCTTGCAATCTACACTGCGCTGTAATGCAACCCAATTGAAGCCAGTGCACCTCTCAAAGCCCCGTCTGTCGCGGCATGCCAGCACTATTGCCCAAACAGGCTCAGCAGCAGCCAAGTCGAGGTGGCCTCGGCGACTGGTCTACGCAGGAATATTTGGTGGATTAGGGGTCGCCGCTGGGAAATGGATGGATGAGAAGGTCTCGGCGCCCGCAGTGCCAGGAACAGTGGAAGACGCAGCCAAGCTGGAGGAGATCTATCACGTATTCGAGAACGGGCTCCCTATTGTGCAAGAACTAAGAAACAATCCGGACTACGTGGAATCGAATGCATATGAAGGATTTTCGGAGGAGGATAAGGCGCACAGATTGACGTCTGGTCCGCTGCGTGGGAGTCGAGGGTTGGCGCTTCAGGTTCGTGTCTTTACCTCACACATCATCATGGAGGAGATGCAATCAACTCGTCGGAACTGAGATTTTTCTTGGCCCGCATGTTGATGTCATTACCGAGCTCCCTGCCTACCGAGCACTCTAAATGCCGGCATGGAAAGCTCGATCAACCTCGGAAGTACTGAGCACTGGCTAATTAATCTATTCTCCTACAGAAAGTTTTCTGGAGTGATAAGGAGAAGAAAGCCATTAGTGTGGTCTACCTCGGATCGGGTCTGGAAGGTTGGCCAACGGTTGTCCATGGTGGCGCGCTCGCTACTCTTCTTGACGAGAACCTGGGACGTGCTGCTATACGCCATTTCCCGGCACGCACCGGCGTGACCGCCAATCTTGAGATCAACTATCGCGCTCCGGTATATTCAGGCAACTTTTACACATTTCACTCGCAGGTAGACCAAGAAAGGAGCACTGAACGCAAGGCGTACGTGACTGGTGAGATCCGCGATCCGGTCGGGCGACTGTGTGCTCAAGCCTCTGCGCTTTTCGTGGTTCCAAAGGGATTCAAGTTGCGGGAGATTGGAGAACGATTCTAGTTTGACCGAGTTGTTGGGGAAGAGACTGGGACATGTCATGATGTCGACGATATAGTTGAATAATAAGTCTATTGGTAGGCTATCGGAGACGGATTGCTTGACTTGTCGCCTATCTCTTCTGGCTATGCATAAAATGGCGCTCAAATGGTCCACTAACAGGATATCCTTTCCTGATATACATATACATATATCTAGCTCTATAAATTCGCGATCGCATGGAGAGGAGAAGGCTGTTCCGGAATATTTCGAATCTTTCTCGATTAGTGCTGCATGAGCTCTCGGAATTGGCATTTTGACATAATGGGGACAATAAGAGCAGATAGGGAAAAACTGGGGAAAGTCTGGGGTTGGAGCGGTCCACTTGGCCTGATGATAGGTATGACCGACTTATTTTCGCAGGCTACTGGCTAGCTCGAATCTGGTCATATATCCGTTACTCTTCTTCCTCCAGTTAAGTAGCAGAAACTCAATCAACACAGTGGCGCTCGATGGTTAGATAGAGGATTAAGCGCGGCCCAGTCAAAGTCAAATATGGAGCTTGTGTCGCCGCTCCATGATTGCTTGTCCATTCCCCCGCACTCTCAACGGTCCATATGAGCCTAGCTGCCTCAGCAGACCCCTCGCCGGCAATCATTGAAGTACTGTTCGCACCAAAATTCTGGAAAGTGCCTCGGTTCTGTCTCAATGTGGAAGTACCTCCGTTTGAAATATGGAAATACACCGGCAGGGATGGTCGACGAACCTGGGTCGCTTGGCTGTATCTGGTAGTTCTCCGCCTGCAATCATGATTCACTCGAAGTGACTCCGCTCGTGAACCTAAGCATTCTCGTCGTGGAGTCTACCGTGAGCTTGGTTCATCACTGGACTCTGTTCTATTCTGCTGGAACATTGACACATATAAGAAACGCGGACTTGCTGGCTGATCGACACGATTATTTTCCTATTTCCTTCTCAACACTACCAGGCCATTGCTTTCTGTGGCATTGGACCAATCTGTGATTTCTTTCGTCGTCTCTCTCATCTAATCGAGTCACTTTGCGACATTCTGTTCAATGATGGAGGTCGCTGGCCAATCGTCCCAGTCTCAGGTGGATGAGAAGGCTGCAGGACAGACAAACGCGGGGGGCAACCTGGAACAGAAATATAGTCATGAGGAGATTGTTGGACTAGAATCAGGAGGTTCAAGTACGGGAGAGGGTCAAGATATTCCGGTGAGTACTGTGCTTTATTGGTTCGGTACAGCTCATTGAATTGCCTGCTCACTCGATTCAGTTG